AATATTTTATTCAATCTATCTTACAAAAAATTAATATTCGTAAACATATATTGATTATAAAATTTTAAAATATATAATTAGAAAACAATTTAGATTTTCGACTTCCTGTGCGTACATGAGTATACGTATATATATATATATATATATATATATATAATAATTGTACATATAGAAGAGCGTGTGAGACTGATTTATATTTATAAATTTATGTTAATTTTATTATTAGTTTCTATTTTTGTTCTTTCATAAACTGTATTGTTTGTTTTTTGTATAATCTCTTGTATACCTAAACTTATATAAATAATGAAGTAATTTGAAATTATAGTTTTTTCAAAATTTGTTCAAAATTATTATTACTAATAACATATATACTCATATAAATAAGCAAAAACTATTTTATTTCATCTGTTATAAAATGAATAGAATTGGTTTAAGTTTGCGTTTGTATATTTATATGAATTCTAATATATAACATATCGCTTTCTGAAAAGTTTTTTATTCTCAGTTCTATTTTTATTAAACATTCAAGGTAAAGAAACAAACTATATATATTAGATTTTTAATGTTGATTAAATGATTGATTATGATATATAATAGCGGAATGGTTACATTGACGACATTACACATTATTGATAATAATACCCATTAACGAGTATAGACCGATCAGCTTGGTGCAAAGCTAATAAACAATATAAATACACCGGAAAAGCCAAAGGAAATAGGAACATATAAATTATCTATGTTTTCAATTATTTGTGTTAACTGAAAAATATTTTCCTCTTGAAAATCTTTTATATGAATCCATCGTATGTAGCTTAGAAATCAATTTATTTATTTATTTAATATATAGATTTGTAGCAATCAAAATGAATGATAGAAATGCTTAACTAACGTAATTAGGAAGAACGTAAATTATAAAACGCCAAAGTTCAGAACAAATATGGAGCAACTAATATCGTTTATGGAATTAGATTCATTGTGTAGTTGTATAGAATGCATGCGAGTAACGGGTGCTGCAGAATAAACTGAACTACATAATGAGAGATACACGTGTCATCTTACGGAATGCGAACGACAGTTCGTATTTACTCAAATTAGATAAAGACAACGATAAAATATATATATATATATATATATACGATAAATTACGTTTCGTTAAATTACAAATACTTCACTCATACCGAACCATAATATCAACAAATAATAATCTCTGTTATTCGTAAATCTAAAGCGATTGAAACTGTCTTACCGAAATTTGAAATACGATAATATCTATCGAAGTAAAAAAGTGTGTAAATAAAAAGTGCTACAACCCATCCAACGTACTTATTGGCGTATCGTAAAAAATAACGAATACGTGTAGCTCAAACCATAATAAAAGCCACTTCATCATAGCAATAGCGATAATAAGTCAACAGACCTCTGTCATGACCACATAATTGATTAATCCATACAGATGTATCTATATCGGCCGTTGGCCAACCACCACATACTCACCGACACACCGTACCATTTAAGTTTGTCGCGCACGCGTGCAAGACATTTGTTGTCTTAAGACTAGCCGACGCCCCGTGGTTGTCAACGTAGCATTACAACAGTATAAGCAGAATCGCGAGAAGAAATAAACGCACGTACAATACACTTTTCACAACTGGGGGCTGCTTTCCTTTACAGTTGGTCAGGGAGTCGAATTGCAGTTACGAGAGCAGTCGAGAATTACACGTGCAAGCAGTTGAAAACAGTTGAACCGTACACAGGCACTAGTGGAAACTCAAGGCATCTCTGGCATTGTATTCCAAGAAATGTATCGTGCCATTATTTGGATGCCTTAACGTTTTCCGATGTTCACCTTTGATGCAAAGTAATTCTATTACTTTGACTCCCTCCGAGCAACTAGCGAACTCCTCACTTTAGATAGATTCAGCTGTCCGGCATACTAACAGAAGGATGAATTTAATGAAAATTTTAACTGCCGCATTTATTGCTTAGAAAAATACTAAAAAAGTATTTTAGCTTTTTAATATTTTAACAATGTCTTCCAACAAAGGATTTGAACGAATTTGAATTCATTCCCGAGACTACGAATTTCACGAAAATGAAGTTTTATAAATGTTTAAAATATAATATACTGTATAAAAACTTAGAAAAAAAACAAAATTTACAACTCCCTTTTATTAATATCAGACGCATTCATGAATTCAAAAAAACTAATTTTATAATATTTTTCATTTCAATGAAGTATTATTATAAAACTATTAGATTTTAAATTAAGTTTTTAAATAATCTTATTTATCTTTTTTGAATTTTGCTATTAAATAGAGCTACAAGAATTTCATGAATTTAAAATTTTTTAAAAATAAATTCACTCTTCCTCTTTTAAATATATCAAGCTAATGTGTATTTCTTTGTAATTTCATAGTATTACATATTTATTGTATTTGGCTAATATAAAGAACACAAACTTCCTAGCTAAAAATGAAACGAAAGATTAATCTGTTTAAAAAACATGAGTATGGTTTAGCTTTTAAATATTTGCATATGCTCTTACGTTTACCTTTTTATCTCCCTCAACAAAACTCTTTGTGTGTTAACTTCAACTTTTTCATGACGGGTATGGAATCGCGCAGGTACGTAAGTTCATTACGGAATTTTTTCTGCCCACATTCAGAAGTGTCCGATTAACGAACGATTTATAATTATAATGACGACCGACAATTTAAAGAGCCAGCTGATTCTGTGATTGTATACTGAGTTAACAAGGTAGTTTAGTTTTCGTTTGCAATAAACAGTGATTTTGAATACACATACGCATTAGTGAGCATACGTATAATTCCATGAATATTGAGTAATAAAGCAATAAAATATGTCTACTGAAAATATTTAACTTTAGCGAAAACAATATTTTAGATAGCAATAATATATCTAACGAATCATATATTCATAAAAATGTCTACGAAAGTACGCTGTAAAATTAACAAGACATAATAAATTATCTTATAAAAATGTTAATGTATCTGTGTATGAATTCAGTGTAAGTATATAATTAAATTAAATTAAATAGTTGGAGCAATATCCAAGTGCGATCAAGTTATTTGGGTATTATGATATGCTTTTAACAGATTATTGACTTTCAAAAACAAGATTTTTAAAATCTCCCTGTGATTTATGTGCGTATGAAGAAAATTATTATTAACTCACCATAACTCTTTATATTCGGTATTCCCCAGCTTTCCAATAATACTTTCTATGAATTATCTTTTGCTCCATTAGCTTCATTTTCCATTAATTGTTAAGATTCAAGCATCACTGGTATTTTATAAAAATCGAAAGATAAAAATTCAAATACATTTAAAATACCGTTAAGCTTTGCACATTCGATAGATAATTCGTATGTGTCAGTTCGGTGCAATGAAATTAATAAATAATATACCATTATTATACTAAAGTAATGCAAACTTTTGTATATTATTAATATTATTATTAAGTCTATTATTATTAACACTATGGACACAGCACTAACTAAATAATTATTATTTTATGTTAAGACAAATAAATTGAAATTTCACATAATGAATTTCGTTATTCTAGGAAAGACAGCCTGCCATGTTTCGCCATCTGTTGGCGTGGCAATCCAATAAAAATTTTACTCCCTGGATAATAGGAGATATATTTATCATAAGTATATAAATTAGTTATTGATTTTACCTACATGCATAAACAACTATATAAATATTATTATATATTTTATTATAATTTTATCCACATAGCGCAAGCCCGCACACACACAAACAAAACACGCATATATTTATTAATAATAAAGTATATTGTATCCTTCATTAATTTTTCGGTATATCATTTGATATGTTTTTTTATTCTTTTTATTATTGATATTTTTATTATTGAATGTTTTTCCTAAACTTAAGCAAAATTCTAGTCTATTCTATAACTTAAGAACAAAAAATTTACAATAACAATATAGAATTTTTATTTGAATATACATTTATCATGTTATAAGATCACAAATGTTACAAATAAATCACCTATAATTTAAATACTTATTATTTATATGTAAACCGTAACTTTATAGTGCCGTCTTAAATTAAAAAAAAAAAAAAAAAAGAAAGAAACCTATTATTATTTGAATAATGATATATTAAGATTCATTACAAGTTACATCTTTAAATGATGATACTCTTTATTTATTAATGTACTAAATAATGTACTGGACAGTTAATGATATTAAGTGATCTATTAAATACTGCTTTTCATCTATAAAGTACATTAATATACGTAGCATAAATTTCGCTTATTAAAGTTGAAAATATTATATGCAAATTTTATATGCACTTTGATATGCATATAATTTCAAAATACTAATGTTTATTAGCATCCAAGTATATTAGTGCTGATACAAATTTTCAAAATTAATATACTGACGAGATAATATCTATTAATGTATAATTAAGACAACAATTTTTGTGACAAATTATGCTTACATAGTAAATTACTAGTATCTTCAAATATATGTCGATATATCTAAATACGATTATACTGTACAATAACAAAATAAAAACAAATGAGATATAATGAAATGTAATAGTAGATGATAGCGGTACTATTGTATTTACGACGTTTAAATTTTATTGTAAAATCGAGGCATATATTGCAAATTTGATTATAATATAATAATAGCGATCCCATTGAAATATTTTATTGAACTTTATTCAAGACAACAGCCATCAAACTACCATAATAAATAATTTTTTGTTATCGCACAAAACTGTCACTTGGCCGTATGTATTTATTTATTAAGTAACCCAAACACAATCAGTCATTTCAGTTCGTTGAAAATCAGAAAATTATGATTATGTGAGGATTGCCGAGAAAATAATAGTATAACTTTTAAGGAATACGAAGGCTTTCGTTATCATATAAATGCATGGAAATGCCAAATTATCAATGCCGAGGCAAGGAGTATGACATACGATAATAATAATCGGCTAAGAAGAGACATCAAGATTATCGATATACAGACTACACATGACTTCGGTCAATCAGACTCTCGTTCAATTTTTAATATTATTATAAGTATATGATAAGTGAATTGGTTTTGAATTAGATTTGTATTTGCTCGACCTCGAATTTTGGATGCCTTGATGCAGACAATTTTGAAATGACTACTTCGGGAATCGCCTTCTCCTCCAAATTCATCAAACCGTGCAGATGGGCATATTGTTGCGGTACCTGAACGCGTTCGCCCAAGTTCATTGTGCCGTGAAGTCCGCTGTAAGAGTTTGGTACCGCCAATCGAATCACTGGGAGCCGCTTCTCGTAGAGATTCATG